TGCAGATTTTTGTCTTTGTCATTTATTCAAAACTTTTCCAAAATAGAGACAATAAATGGTAACCAAACATGCCTCATGCAAAAGGTTATATACTTACATGTAAGTGCCTTTTCAGGTTAATATGTTGTTGCTGACTTATTGGCTTATACCAAAGATCTTTGGTTATCCATACAATATCTTTGATGTAAGAAATTAAATGCCACCGGAGGGCCTTCAACAAAGAGCAAAACTCATACCGTATGTAGATATAAGAATATGTGGTATGAGTGCCAATGAGACAACTCTCTATCCAAGTCACAATTTGTAAAAGTAAACCATTATAGGTCAAAGTACGGTCTTCAACACGGAGCCTTGGCTCACACCAAACAGCAAGCTATAAAGGGCCCCCAAAATAATTAGTGTAAAACCATTCAAACGGGAAAACCAACGGTCTAATCTATATAAAAAACGAGAAACGAGAAACACATATGAACCACATCAACAAACGACAACTACTGAACATCCGATTCCTGACTTAGGACAGGTGCAAACAAATGCAGCGGGTTTAAACGTTTTAAATAGGTACCAACCTTCACCCTTATCTAAAATAATAGTGTAAGATCACAACATAGAAAGACACACTATAAAATATCAATTGAAATGGCTTAACTCAATCAAAAGACATATTAACACAAGTGAATATACACTGAACGAATAAATTCGATCTATGATACAATGTAAATACAAAATCAATAAAATGAAATAAGGGGTGAATAAATAAAGGCAACTGTAGTATACCACTGTGAGATGTTAAACAATTTCAAAATACAACAATAACCTTGAACAAAAAGCCGCCAAATACAATAATATACACATCTAAATGTAAATAATTTTGATATAAGGTATACAGTTTAAATGGAGAACGGAAATAATTTTTACAAAATAAATAATTTTGTTATTCATAGTACGAAGAAGTGAAAATTTATAGTCATACCAAACACTTATCAAAGCTGGTATATGGACGAAATATTACCCTGAATAAGTAAACATTAAATAACAAAAAAGCATTACAAATAGTATCAACAGGTCAATTTAACAAGAAAGTACGATTTGAGAGTACTCGCAGTTACTGACAGCTAATTAAAAGCCAAAAACAATTAATAATAAAAAATCATGCATCAGAGACTAAAATCAACTAAAACACATTCCAGGGATTTAGTATTTTAACGTCATGGACAGTCAAAGAAGACATGACTTGTGCAATGCCAAAAATAAATGTATCTACAGGCAGTAGGATAGTTAGGAGTTAACCTCTTTATAGAAAAAAATGAACGTAGATATGTCTTTACACATCCCGTTTGAAAAGAATACAAATTCAGTTATGTTTTAATTTGCTGCTGACAAAATCGATATTTGTGCCAATGTAAACTATATTCAAAGATCTAATTACAACATTGGTAAGATAACTTTTACTAATAAGTTTGTTTAAAGGTTCGATGAGTTTACACGGATCACATAGTAATTTCCGCGCTTTTAGTACAATATTACTGTAAAATTTAGGATGTGAAATACCGTTTTTAATAAGTTTTCTACAGATACAGCCAAATTTACTAATCAAATCTTTGTATCTATGAAAGAATTTAGTAAAAGGTTTAAGTAATTTATGGTAACAAAATCCCTGACTAATAATTTACCGGTCATGCATTGATTACGTTCGTTAAAATCTATGACATCACTACACACACGGGCATAACGAACGAGCTGGGATATATAAACACCGTATGATGGTGCCAAAAGAACATCGCCGTCTAAAAAAGGAAAATTAACAATAGGGAATGAAAAATCGTCTCTTTTGTCGTAGATTTTAGTATGGAGTTTCCCTTTAGAAATTGAAATGTGTAAATTTAGAAAAGGACAACTACTGCTTTTTGAGTTAGATTTAGTGAAAGAAAGTTCCTTTGGGTAAATTTCGGTAGTATATTTAGAGAACTCTGGATTATTTAACGAAAAAATATCATCAAGATAACGGTAGGTATTGTTGAATGTATCAACCAAATGTAACAATGGCGTGTCTTTACTGAGTTTGGTCATAAACTGAGATTCATAGCAATACAGGAATAAATCTGCTATTAAAGGGGCGCAGTTAGTGCCCATAGGAATACCTACTACTTGTCGATACACGTTATCGCCGAAACGTACATATATGTTGTCCAGGAGAAAATTTAAAGCTTCAATCATGTCTTCACATTTCCAGTAAGTGTATCTAGCATACTTTCCTTTTTCGTTACAGAAAAGGCTTTAAACGAGTTACAGCAAATAAATTTGCAATGAGATTTAAAAGGACCATCAAAAGCATGTATTTTATCTAAAACATCTAAATAATTTTTAACACTCCAAAAAAAATCAATACCAATATTTTCATAAGCTTCATTACAAAAGTTAATAACAAGTTCTTTGATAGTAGTATGGGAGGTAGTTAGAAGCACTGATAGATTAGAAGTAGAACACTAATTAGATGCGGAGATGACACGGAATTTAAATGTTTTTTTGTGCAATTAAGGTAACCAGTACATAGTTGGGACTTTCAAATGTTCGGAAGAGGCTTTAAGCTGGGTAGTCAGGGTCGGATCTAGGATTTAAGGTTAGGGGAGGGCACAAACTTAATTTTTTACCGAGCGGAACGAGTCGAATAATTTTTTGAGGTAAAATTATCGAAATATTCTTTATTAAGCTAAGGACAACCCATGCTTTGCAAATTTTAGGGGGCGCACGCCCCCGCCTGAATCCGCTCCTGGTAGTGGCAGTGATATGCTTGTTTACAATTTGACTCTCTGTGGAGCGTACGGACTTGAATGTAGAAGGATTGATAATTTCGTTTTGGAGAACTTCCGTGTAGTATATGTGTCACACCACCACTACATTATTGGCTGATTTGTCTGCCGGTATGAACACAAACCGCTTTGCGAGTACTTGGAGTTTATTTTTTATTCTAGAAATAGGAATATCATGAACCCTATTATAAATTTCAGAATTGTTTTCAATATGAAATATACGAATATCAACAGTATTCATAATTTTATTCAAATAACTGTCTAGAGATTTTTTATCAGATTTTTCACGTTTACACATAGTCAGTTTTAAAATTCACAAAATGTAAAACGTGAATCAATTCTAAAGAAAAAACTAACGGCCTAATTAATAGCAAAACACATTAGGAAAAACGAATATGAGAGACATAAACCAACAAAAACCACTGTATTACAGGCTCCTGACTTGGGAAAACCAATAAAGGAAAAACAAATATGACAGATATGAACCATCACCAGCCACTAAAATTAAAGCCGCCTGACGCTGGCCAGCCACAAGCAGAATATGGAAGGGTTAAACATGTTTGAGAGTGCTCAAACAACCCCTTATTCTCGAACAGTTGTGTAACAACAAAACAAAGGAACTATAAAATCAGTTGGAAATGGCTTGACTCATTTGATTGGCACGAAACATAAGTAACAACTAAATAAAGAGAAAAGACTCAATATACAAAAGTAATCCATTTAATGAAAGCTTGTTCAAAGCAGGCAATTAGTAATAAATCATATTATGCAATACCTGTTTATATTTAGTTGATTCATTGTGTTTATTTTTATGATTCAATTTTTCTTTAATGTTACAAAAAGTACAAAGAAATGCTTCTGGGGATTTTGAAATGATGCATTACTAGCATAAAAAGTTGGTTTTTAGCCGATTTGTCTACAACAAAATTTACAAAACTACAATATCCATCAGTCTTTGACTTTCAAGCATTTATCTTTAGGCAAAAAGTATACTGTTTTTCTTAGAAAAAACAAATCGCCTTATCGATTTGTCGATTTGTGCAGATTTTAAGCAAAAATGTTCAGATTGTGGTAAAAGCATGAATTTTTGCATAATAGTAGTATAGGTCATGGACAACATTTTCAGCTATATTTTGAGCTCTGAAAATTTGTTTCGACAGGATTTGTGCCATCTTGCCTTGTGGTTCAGGAGTGTTTGTGCAATTCCATGGCCTTCATTTTACTGTTCCAATTTGAGTGATGAAGGAAACCAATTCAATGCACAACATCTTTGTATGATAGCAACAAAGGACTGATAACCAGCTCCAATGTCAATGTCTGATCTTTTGTTATCTCCTGGGCATAGTAAATCATCACGCGTTCTCTCGTGGCATATCACACATTTCATGCCAGTCTATATGTTCACTACTAGGTTTATGAGCTCCAATGTTTTCAATATCTACAATTTTGATCCTTTTCGACATAGTGTGGTCATATATCTACATGTAATTTTCTGTTGTAAAAAGTTATTTAGACAAATTTGTAAGTACAAGAAATAATGTGTTAGATACCTTCATTTCGTTGACATATGCATGGTTTATTTGACCACATGGTGAATATTAAATACATATAGCAATAGTCCTATAAGAATGATTTGATTAGCTAGTTTTAGACGTATCAAATCATTAGTTTAAATGCAAATGACAAAAATAAAAAAAAAAAAATAGCAAATAATGATATATTTGAAATTTTTGTTTTCAAAATGGCCACCATTCAAAATGGCTTCCAGTTATTCAATACCTAGTGTCCTCAAATTATAGTCCTTAATATAAGTGATAAATATACCAAGTTTTATAGCAATTGGTAAAGCCGTTTATTTTTTCATAATTTTTTTTCTGATTTTATTATTAATTTTCTGGTGGCCATTTTAAAATGAACACCCAGAGCAGCCATTTTGATTTTCAGAAATGGGTCCATAGCTATAAATGTTAACTATGACCTAAGCTAAAACTCTGCAAAGTTTGGTGCTTTTACCACCATCTGAACAGTTGTTTCACAAATCGACTGAACTATATATCAGTTTTATCCATTGTATATTGTCACAAAAAAAAAGTCTCATTTATCAATCTGTGGTTTAAAAATCCATAATTTATCTTCATTTGTTTATTAAAATATGTCTCATAAGTCATAATTTTTTTTACCGAACGAACAATATATAAGGCTTTTAGAATCAACCATTCAGCACCACACTGTGTCATCTTATCGAGGCTGAACAAAGAAAAATCAAGTAAGTTTCTATTTTCCAAATTCATTTTCTCTGTCTGTTTTACATTAACTGTATAATGTCAGCTATTGTCAACAAAAATTATAATTTTTGTAATTGTCGGCAATGTCGATTGTGTAGGAAAAACTAAAAGCAGATGCCTTCATAAGAGTAAACATGTATATTACTTGCAGGTCTTTCTTTATCTCGTAAAGGGCAAAAAATTATGCTGCCATTAATGATGTTTCTAAAACTACAGGGGATTAGTTGTGTGGTTGTTGTAACTATTACATAGATCAGAACTGTTATCTTTAATACAATAACCAGACAACATTATTAATAAAAATCCTTGGGAATATTATTCATTCATAAATTAGCTACTTTAATCCTCCAAATTATGAAATGTTTAGATTCATCATAGCAATATTTTAATAGTTTAAAATACGTTTTAGATATGTCTGTTTCTTAACTCACTATCGACAAGTTTTCGCAGCCTTGGATCATAACTAATTTTATATTTTAGCATGTTCCTGGGGTCATGGCGCTGAAATGTTCAGATTATATAACCGTATTTTTTATCAGTAGAACCAACATAATTTTGAACAAAATATAGAAATTGTAGAAATATACATTTTTGCAATTTCAAATGACAAATAATGACTCTTTTCTAGCCATACCGCCTACTTTGTAATACATTTCAAAACGTTTTCTCAAAATGATAATCATCATGCAGAATAGGTTATATATCAGATAGCTACACATTTTAAATTAAAGATGGACTTTTTGTTGTAGAATATTGCTGAAAACGATAGTAATGTTTGTTTTCTATCTTTATATTTCAACTTAAACAATCTCTTTTTAAAGTGTTCCTTTCGTCGTCAACAAGTTGTGTTTGTTATTTTAAGGCCGGATATTGCATTCTAATAATCACAAATATGAACATTTATTGAACACTCACAATTCTGCAGAATATATAGATAAATATAAAATACGGAAATGTGGTACGATTACCAATGAGACAACTATCCAACAGAGTCCACTTTAAACGGATTTAAGCAACTAAAGGTCACCTCACGGCCTTCAAACACCAGATTGTACAATAAAATGCTATATAAAGGTAACAGTGAAATTAAGACGTAGCATAACAGAGGATTCTGAAAGATAGAATACAAGTGCTTTTCATTAGAGGGTGGATACATTTTTGGGAACAAAGTATCTTCAACTGGTTTCTTTATTCAAATGAGGCGAATTACATGCAAATATTTGTACAAAAGTAAGAAAAAACTAGAACTAGCTTTTAATTTTTGTTCCTCTATACAGATAACGTCTTTTCATTGAATAGTTGAAAGTTTGGGGATAAGGTTATCGGATCTCTTCTACTACAAATTAAATAAAAAAATTTACTTTGTCATAAATGACAAAACATATGCATCATATTAAAGTATTTATTTCAATATTTGTTCATAAGTGTAGTGTTATTTAGATCCTTGTGTGTCCATGTAATAGCTACTTCCCCTCAAATTAGTACTTGCTCGTTGCTCAGCTTTTCAAATTCCAGTGTAAGAACTCATGATTATAATACTTATTTGTTTTAGTTAAGTGGATGTCTATTTGATGTTTTCATTATCAACATATTAACCAACTTCTCAATTATGTTTGCTGAGACAATCTTTTTTTTATTCTGAGCATTAGAAACACAATGACTCTCTAGAGTTTTGATCTTTATTTGTAGCTATAATGATCCCAAATATATCATACCAATTACTAAAAGCCTCAAATCGTAGAAACGGAAAAGATTCTCTTACAACTCACATTAGTATCAAAAAGCCCCATTACATTTGAGATTGGCAAAATTGGATTTTTAAACCAAAAAAAATGGATGCATTGTCAAAACATTGACAAAATGTCATTTATCATGTAAAATAATATGCAGTGGTGCATATCTATAATTTGTATGTTTGTACATAGAAGATATAGTATAATTTGCTCATTTTGGTATTCATGCGATCCACTCAGTTTTTTTTTCTTTATTCAAATTATAATTTTGTACGCCAGGCGCGCTTTCGTCTTCAAAATACTCATCAGTGACACTCGTATCAAAAAAGTTTAAATACTGGCCAAATAAAGTACGAATTTGAGGAGCATTGAGGACCAAAAACTCCGAAAGATTTGACAAATACGGTTGTGCTAATCTATTTCTACGGTAGAACATTTGGTTGTAAGTTATTGTTGCCTAACTTTAATATGCCAATAATTATACATACGATCAACTGATTTCCACACGCTTTTTAAAGGTTTAAGCCAACAAACACGTAAAACTTTACTCAACTATATCGTATTCGTAACCTTAAAACGATCTCTATCCAAATACAGTCAAATAAAGTTTCTTCTTGATATCCTGGAAATTTATGTGCAAAGGTTTTTTTCAGAACTAGTATACATAACTAAAATAAATTTCCTTTTTGGTAGAATGAAGATTACAATTTGTCTGCTGTTTGCCCTCTGTAGCGCAGTCAGTGCCCGCCTTTACAAAGGAGGAAATCTTGGAGGATGGGGTGGTGGATGGGGAAGTGGACGCGGTGGTGGATGGGGAAGTGGACGCGGTGGTGGATGGGGAGGTGGACGCGGTAGTGGATGGGGAGGTGGTCGCGGTGGTGGATGGGGAGGTGTATCGGGTGGTGGTTGGGGAGGTAGCAGAAGATACGTAGGATCCGGACATGTATATGTTGAAAGACAGCCTTGGTGGGGTAGCTATGGTGGATATGGTGGTAGAGGCGGTGGATATGGTGGTTACAGTGGTGGATATGGTGGATATGGTGGATATGGTGGTTACAGTGGTGGATACGGGGGTGGTTCCGGAAGTAGTAAAGGTATGATAATTGTGTTTGAATATTTTTTTTCAAAATAAATATAAGCTGCACCGCTGTGGTATGTCTATTTGATTTGAACAAATATAAGGATATGTTATTAACTTACATTTCCTCCATTGCTTCGTACTGTCAATCATCATGGATAATAACACAAACGGTACCAATTCTTCTGCACCGGATAACATGCTTTCTCAAAAGGAATATATGAATAAAAAAAAGTTGTCTTCGAAGCTCATTTTCACATAACGCTAGTTTGAAACAGAAGTTCCAGGAATGTCCAGGTTTTTTTTTCTTTTTGAAATCCGATACAAATATGTCTAATAAAAACGAAAATATGGCATCATGGGTAGTAACAGACTCCAGACTTATTAATATAATAACATTGTAAGATGCGTTTATATGTAATACGAATAAAAGGACATATAGATAAATGTTTATGAGACAAAATTCAGACAAAACAAAACCAATAAGTTAACAAACAAAATTGAGAATGGAAATGTGTCAAAGAGACAACAACCCGACCATAGAGCAGAAAACAGCCGAAGGCCACCAATGGGTCTTCAACACAGCGAGAAAATCCCGCACCCGGAGGCGGGCTTCAGCTGGCCCCTAAACAAAAAGTGTACTAGTGCAGTGAAAATGGACGTCACACTAACTCCAAAACATATAAATGAACTAAAATTAAAAAAAAAAACATACAAGACTAACAAAGGCCAGAGGCTCCTGACTTGGGACAGGCGCAAAAATGCGGCGGGGTTTAAAATTCTGTCTTTCAAAGAATTGAAAAAGTTTGTCTATATCAAAATTACTGATTAATTCCTAGAATTGAGAAGTTAACATACAACTAGTTAAATTACAGCACAAAATATTTTTTTCAATTTACTTTTTTTATTTTGTAGGATATTAGATGCAGATTCTTTCCCACAACGGACAACGGATAATGTTCTCTTTTTAACATTTAATATATTAAATATTGTCTTAGCATTCAATTCATGTTGATATTTTCTATTCCAAATTTATGGTAACTTCTTAGACTATAGCACACTTAGATTCAAAAGGCAGTGAATTGACGTTTGGAAGAGAGTAGCCTATATTGCGTAAAATGTTATCAACTTCATGTTTGATCTGTTTCCATAGAATACGTCTCATTTCATTAGTCCCAAAATGTCATTCTTATCAAACCGTCATTATACTCTATCATTGGACATTTGGTTCTTTCAGTTTACTATTCGCCATTTCCGAATCTAAAGGGTTGTTGTTTATTTCATTGTTCGTTACCAAAATAAAAATTACGTCACGTCACGTCAAGTAGATGTGGGGCATATGAAACAAACTCTCAATGACAATGAATATCAAGACATTTAGAGGGAAACATACAGTAAGTATTCAACGATATACAAATGTTTATACAATATATTTAAAGCTCTAAATCTTGAATTTATAAAATTTAAGAATAAATAAGACTGAAACAATCAGAGATCTTGCATCAAACTGCAGTCTACAAATATTTATTCTCATTTATATATGACATTGTATAAATAACACATAGCTGCGAGGGTGATAGAGCAGATTGTTACCCCTCGAAAAGACATTGTCAACCTTGGCTTCGCCTCAGTTGACATTGTTTTCTCGGGGTAACAATCTGCTCTCTTACCCTCTCAGATATGTGTTATTTAATTTATTATACTGAATGTTCTGTTATTACTGTCGATTAAATTTCAAATTCAAAGTAATAAACTATGACGTCTTGTAATTAACAACCAACCGTATTTAATAAAGCGCACATTTGATCAAGCGTCTCCGTGAAGGGTAATAGAGTATTTACCATAGAATAGAGTAAATTAACACCCTTGTATAAGCCAATCAAAATATTGCATTTTTACGTGCGTGAAGAATAATAAAAGACAATAGCCAATGACTCAAACTGATCGATATCTGTCTTAAATCGGATCGATTGATTGATTAATTGATTGCTGGTTACCGCAACTTTCAGCACTATTGTGCTATTTCCTGGCGGTCGTCAGTTTTTATTGGTGGAGGAAGCCGGAGTGTCCGTAGAGAACCACCAACCTTCGGTAGGAAAACTGACAATTCCTAGTCAATTAAGATTGGAGTCGAGTGCACCTGCCACTTGCGGGATTCTAACTCACAATCTCAGTGTTGACAGTAGTTCGACTACTTAGACCACTCGGCCACTCGAGGTTTAATTAGGTTTTTACTGATTTCGATCAGTAGACCAATAAAACGTTTAAAAAATGAAGAAAAACAAATTGATTTTCCAATCAGAAAAAACCTTACATATCTCGCGGTACAATTGATAATTTTTTAAAGTCAAAAATATGTACAGTTTTTTATGGTTATTAAGATATATTTATATAACATGTCATTACTAAGAAATCATTATTTGTATACAAATATGGAAATTAAGTGTTATTTTTTCTATATAGCCATATGATTTTTTCGTGTAGAAATTCATATCTGTCTTTAAACAGTGATTTCCCTAAACATATAAATCATAAATATTTCTCATAAAAATTGAAAGAAACTGCAGATAATGAAATCAAATCAATCAATTTAGACTTGAAATATCTTCGGTTGAATTTTATTAAAAGTGTGTTTTTATATCAAATAATAGGGGAATTTCCGAAAGGTGAAACTTTTTTTACCTAATACTGTACTTTATCTGCTGATAAGAATCACACCGTCCCACACCCTTTTATCTGTTGCTGTTCTTCACAGATTTCATACAGCTACGTCATAAACCGAACAGAAAGACACTTTTGTAGTTCCCAGGACAAACCACACAGAAAGGCAAAGGACACATTTTAGTTTCGCTTCAACCTTTAAATTTGCGCATTAACGTGTGTCACAAATAATACCAATCAATCTTGCATATTTCCATAATAAATTTCTATGTTTGCAAAAAAACAATTACAAAAGTCTTCAAAAGGAACACCGGTCACAATTAACGTTCAATTAAGTAAAAACGAGATCAGGTGTATAAATCCATAAAGAAAACGAATTATAATGTAGCTAGAAGCATACATTTGGAAATCAAAATAATTTTTTCTGCAATCTACTTAAATGCAGATGTATAAAAATGAAAAATAAAATCAATCTTAATTTTTTATTATGTTTTGTTATGTAATCACCTCTAGAAATTCGAATATATAAAGATGTAATTTTCTCCTGAAAAAAAAAGGGAGTTCTTTTATATGTTACCGAATCATGTAGTATCTAAAGATCCAAATGATATGCAATTGATTTACTAACTAGGTTTAGTGCATTTATATAACATGTAATACAAGGTTTATATTAATCATCCGAAAAGGTAGGTCAAGGAAAGTTTGATTCTCTCTGAAGGTTGATATTAAGGTTAATATGACAGAAGGTTTACCATTTCAATATTAACTATACGGAACGAAAAGCAATCAAACGGCATAGAAGATACTATGGAGCATTAAAAAAAGAAAATCGACGAAAGTCAACGGCAACATGGGCAGAAGAAATAGTCCAAAATAACAGTACACAGCAAAATAAAATTGCCTACAGCAACGCTTCAAAAACTGAGTGTGATATCAGGTGCTTAGTAATGGCACGCACGTACTGCCGTACTTGTTACAACCGTCGTAAATCAAAATACAGCACTAATCATAAGGCATTTGAGGATAAATGCATAAGACTAATCATAAATTTATTGACTGGTTGAGTGGCTTACAAATTGACACCCATCTTTAGCCAGACAATATATTTTACTTTATCATGTTTATACCAAATTAGAAAAATGAAGTGTGATGTTTAAAATATTTACATCACGTATTGGTCGACCGATACGATTTGTCGGTGTCTCAACTCACTGGCACCATGTTTTTGAGGCCTCAGATCTTTAGATACTATGTAAGTCGTCTGTTACAGATTGTGAAAGTTTGACTGAATGTTGATTCGCATGACGGATGGTACATGCATTCCTTTTGGAGTACATGCGATTCAATAAGGTTTTGTCTGTTACCTACATTCGTCTCTTCTAAATCGATTTACAGGATTTGAACGTCGGTAAACTACTGTTGTCTAAATTTATATGCTGGTTACTTGGGTCAGACAATTTTTATTAAATAATCAAATATTGAACAGTAAAACCTGGGAATAGAACTGAAATAACGCATCAGTTGAAATGTCATTTGGCTTTTCTAAGGTAATACTGTAATATTCTAAGAATACATTTTGATCATTATCTTTGATGAGTTCTATGCATAGCAGAAACAGTTCAGCGATAAACAAATCAATCAGCAAGTCTTACCCAATGTCCATTTCATGATTGTAAAACAAATACAATGTACTGATAATAAATATATTAATAAAGTCCAACCCAGAGTTTATTCTCTATAGTGAGGAAAAATATTGCACGTGCACAATTTCTTCGTCTGATTTAAGCAGGTCAAATCTCTTTTGATTATATCAGCCAATATAGGCGGACATTTTTTTAACGAATGCCGAGGTTTTATATGTGTTACTTCTATCATAAGAACAAAATATGTATGTCGACCTTCCTCTATCTGGTTATAGAGAAAGTGCAAATAACTGTCTATTCATGAAAAATAATGGGGGAGTTTGAACAAACGATTTACGTCACAGGTGTATTTTAATCTAGTGTCAGTTGCTTCATTGGAGTTGTGTGTAAGTAACTGAAGATACTTTTTTTTTATAGCTGCTAAATATTCTTGTAAAACTAGCACTTATCTTGCATGGATTGTCAGGTGAGAGCAGAAATAATTGCTCAGCGACTGTTACATTTGTTTGGTCTTTATCTCTCACTCAGATAACGTCCATCCTCGGGGTTGCACATTGAAAATTCTTCACATTTACAAATAATCCGAATGTATTATCCATAGTATTTTCTTTTCCCCCTAAATCTTCTCACTTTTATATCGTCCCGTACTCCGTGCCTTTCTGTCTTCCCTAGTATTTAAGTACTATAGTTTTTCTTCCGGTTTAACGGGCATAACGTCTCCTACAATACCATTAGCCACTTTGACGACCTCAACTCTTTGCTTGATGAAACTCTTTCTGTTTTTCTTTTGATTCAGCAATTTCCACAGATCGAGGTAAAACTTTTTCTATCAACATGTTCTTGTGTTTTTCTTTTGTATTCGTGTGTTTTACTCCTCGTCGTTTTAGTGAAGGTCGTGATCAGTCTACACAGATCATGTGTACCTGTTCTGTCTTAAACACAACGGTCCTACATGTTTGAAATGTGTGTTTTCAAATGATGAACTGGTCGAAAATAAAATCATGGAATATTTGCGAATGTACAAGGAACAGAGTTTTGCATTTCATGATTTGAAGATTTTTTACTGTGCACACCACTAGGTATACTCAAATCTATATTACATTGTACCCACAATTTAATTACAAAACCAGTTTGGAACATTTTGACCAGAATTATATAATATTCCTTTATTGAGGGTCTGGATAAACTAAATTAAAGTATAGATACCAGCAATCTCCGACGCAGAGTTCATATCCGTTCCGTACATGCTCCGCAATACTACACTAAGGGAAAATAGTACTATTACATTTTCCCAGCATTAGTTTGGCCTTTTGTGTACCCAAGGCAGGTGAAGGAAGTCAACTTAGGGGCGCTGTGACTGGGTGTAAGGGTATCTATGAATAACTGCAGTGTGTATATTTACAATATAAATTTTGAAACCCATTGAAATATTTTCTAGAGAATTATTCGAAAAGACTTCCAAAATTTCATAAATTTGGTGTAAAATGACGGTGGGCATGGATAACATAAACAAGCTCCGTTGGAAGTTGGTCATGATACTATTTGGCTTCAATTTTCAAAACAGAATAATAAAGTACTAACACCACACATAACTGTTTTGTCCAGGTTTTTATTATAAAAAGTGGTAAATTTAGAAAAAGTTAGTCTTGTCGCCTAAGGCAGAATAAATAGTACCGTTTTCCCTATATATATTGATTGTAG